AATTTGAAGTGAAAATGATATATATTCTTTGCGAGTGCAGTCTACAATGCTAAATGCACCGAGGCATCTCGCGAACACTTAATCCGGGAACTGTCCTGAAAAAAATCCCGCGATCATTTGCCATCATCGATAGTAGATGAGGGGTTCGTCCATAGAAGACAGAGTACCGAGTAACTCGGTAGTGAAAAAAGAAGCAGGAAAAAATACACCAGCTGTCCTAGGTGGAAACACGTTTCGACCAGCGGGGAAGTACGATATTCCCCCATGTGTTTCGCACCGACGCTATACCCTTGTCCTATAACCATTTTTGATGCGCTATGTGCAGCGTGCGGTGCACGCGGTGCGTGCGTTAGCCAACCTGGTCATAAATATGCCACGACAGGTAGTCAGACTGTGCTAATATTGGTAGAAGGAAGGTTGCCCTCTATGGATTGAAGGCTTTCGACTGAACTGTATAGGACAGGTTATCAAGAACATGCTCATTTCCCTTTCAGAGGAGATGAAGAGTTTCTTGATTTCTCCGAGAGCACTAAGCGTATAAGTGATATGATAGTTGGTAGTTATCAGAGATCTTGAGGAGGCACAGGTCACCCCTCCATGAGCTCCAAGCAAATTTGAAGACAAGGCGAGCAAGGTTATCAATACCCTAATTTAGGAATTTTGCTGACCTGAGGCTGACCGAATTGGTCAACTCAACCCACGCCAAAGTCGTTTTAGTCCTCCGAACACGCTCGTAATGTGCTCTCTCCAGTGCACATTTTCTCAGCAGCACCTGATTGCCCAATATGGTTATCAGAAGAAATATGACAGCACAAAAAAGGAAGCATCAGTGCAGCTGCGGCATGCTGTACGCGGTCATAAACTTACAGCATTTGCTTCCCTATTGCTTCCCTTCACATTTTTGAATGAGCCCTGCGCATTTCACCTCTCTGCAGTTAACGTCTCGGTCTCTTTCCAGTACAAATCGCACTTGTCGAACGAAGGCTGTAGCAGTACGAGTTCGTCTGAAGCTACGTTCTGAGCCCACAGCGACCGATTGGCCCCAAGGGTGGGGCCCTTCCGAACGAATCAGCAACAGAGCCAACTTTCCACTACTGGAGCGCTGGCATGAAAAGCTTTTCTTCTATCCCATCGCTGAGAAGCAGAATAGACAGTTGCACCAATTTACATAGCTGCACTACTCGTTCTCTCGTTTTCAGACTCGTTATGATGGGAGCGGGTTTCATGATTCTGGTACTCGTTTGCGTCATCGCACTCATGCTCATGAGAATTGGAGTGAAGAAACGCGAGGTACATGAATGTGCCCGTATATTTATTTAACACCGCCAAAATAACAGTTCCTTGATATAGAAAGCGAAGAGATTTGGAGGCAGCACGCAGAAATAAAGGGCGAGAAACTTCTAAGGGAAGCCGTTTTGAAACAAAAGCCGAAGGAAATGTCGTCTGGAACAGTAACAAAGTGGAGCACTGCTACAGATAAAATATCACAGTCAAAAGAAGGTACCTCCAAGGACAAAACGACGAAATCGAAAGAGATTGGGTCAAAGGAGAAGGTTGGCAAAAGTAGACCTGACTCCAAAGAGAAGAAGACAAGCTAGAAAGATTAAAACTTTGGCGATATCCATTTCGAATAATCAAAGCTCGCTACTTCTGCTATCGTATAAATTTTTGAGCGTTGTCGAATGTTCGATACTAGTTGAAATCCAGAGCGATAGTGGACGTTTCAAATTCTGATTCTGAGTATTAGAAATTCTCCGTAGATTGAAGTTAATTGCACTGATCACCTCATTTTTCAGCAACCAACGATAAAAGCATGAGGTCATTTTTTACAGAACGCCTTCGCTGTGGAACCACTTGCGCGTCACAGTCATCGCTCTGCACCCTGTAGCATCTTCATGTTTGAGGAAAAAAGCCTGATTCTAGCATTGGGAAATGCTTTCGTTGTCGGCAATTGAATATACAGGGAGGGGGCAATGAACGATGCACTTCTCCCCAGTAAAGGTGCCTTTTCAGAACTTTTGCTTGGGATTTCATTCGCCTTTGAGAACGTTTGAAAAGCGCTGAGATTCGTTCCCTACTAGATTTCTTCCCGATATGTCCTCACCTTCATGCTCACTATCGTTTATTCCGGATTCATCCCGCGAATTATTGCCTGTGATTAGGACTGTTCCTATTCTCTCCACCGTAACTCCTCTATAAACATCTACCAATGGCCTGCTGCTGCCTATTGATGTCACGCATCTATCAGATTGTTTTCTTCGCCTATTTTGCTTATTCGGTGTGGAGGTGCTACTACGTTCGACAGCTTCTGGTAATGTGCGAAGATTTCCAACAATTCAGTAGAAGGACCAAGGTACTCACACATGCGCTTTCTTCGAACTCATTGCAGGTCTAGATGAAATTTGTGTTTAAAGACACGCTCCGCGTTCAAACGATGTGTAGGCCCTCCTTTGTACATACCGAACCAGTGCGCAACGAGAATACATGAGTTCCCACTCAAAATTATGAGAAGAAAGCGCTATACACTATCACCTGATGATGTTTTTTTCCGGCCTCTCTCCAAATCGTATATTGAAGAGGTGAGAAGAAGAAAGAGATGAATTCATCAAGTAGAAACTCGTTCAATCATGACCCCCCCCCTTCACTTCATGCACAAACGAAACATGTTCAACACAGGGTTCCATATAAGACTCGTCTAGAGGGTATTTTCTTTCACTTTTGTTACATTTACCATCTTGTGGTCAGTATTTGAGCAACACAATCCACCACTTTTGAACCCAGGGCGTGCCTTTGAGAGAGACGCTCGCAGTATTCGACAGTTGCTCGTTTCTGAAGACCACAATTCCGAACGCTTGCCCTACAGTTGCACCAACCACCACAAGTCAGTTTAGTGGAGGAAGGAACACATCAGATTGCATAAAATTTGTAATAAATAAAACCTCTTGACAGCGGCCGAATACGAGTAGAAACAGAGTAGAAATACATATCGATTCTGTTTATGCTTTGAAGGGGAAAGAAGAAAACGGCTATCAACGTGTTAGATTCATTGAGACGTGGTATGCTAGAGTATTAGCTGCACTTCATCGTTTTGCCTTTCCTCCGATTTTCGTCCTCATCTCGCTTGGAGAAGTGACCTCTGCTTAGGTCAGGGTACCTTTCATTCCGCGCTACATATTAGGTCCGAGAGAAAGTCCCGCAGCATTTTGATTAAATTGTTCTAGAAAAGAAAACCAACAAGCATTTTGAATGTTCTCGCCCATGAAGAATGTCCGCTGAGGGTTTTGTGAACCTGTGTATCATGACGTTATGGAAGTTTTCAAAGCTGAATGTCCCCCATTTTCACATTAGTTTCTCTAGGGCCATACCGCCTGTAGACTAGCATGCTAATACCTGCATGTGTTAAGTAAAGGTATCGCTTGCCATGGCAGAGAGTAGCGTTTGCATCGACGGTTCCAAGCTGGTAGCTATGTACAGGGGGCGGAAAAAAGACATTTCCCTTCTTGACTTTCGAGGCGCTATAAGTTACACTTTATTGAATTCTGATCGGACATTTCTACCACCATATTAAAGAGCATATTAAATACTATCATGATACTCCGCCACAGCCTTCTGGAGGAGCGCCATCGAGAGATTCTGCCACGCGACCGTCAGTGGGTGCGTGAGTTCAGCGAGATCGTTGATTTCTCCGCCACTGTAGACCACCCTATTGAACTCCGCCCGAACCAGGTAATTGAGGGGGTTTAGGTCAGGTTACCTGCTTACCGGGAAGGTCGCCAACTTACCATGGAACTTTGAAAGGAGACCTAGGTGGATTGATAGAGTCTATAAGGCTATTAACAAATATAGATAGCAAAACTGCAACGTGCATTCCACAAGGAAGTTATGAGCAGGTAAAGTTTGTAATGGTGTAGTCGGGTGGAGGCTCAGTGGTAGCAGCTGCGAAGGATAATCGAGGAATTGCTTACAGCAGATCGAGTCGCGGTGGTTCAGTGGTAAGGTTTTCGCTTTAAAGGCACGTTCCGCGATAAACTAAGGCTAGGTTCTCATAACCGTGCACGACGGTCAAGCAGGCAACGTCAGAGGCTATGCTGCTTTTAAAAGTTGAAAAACAGCAAGCAAAACGCAGCGCGCTCAGTTTTAGGCCCATTGGCGCCCGATAGGCCCATGCCGGCCTCCAGTGACCGTGTCGTTGTGACACTGCCATTGCGCTCTCTCGCCCGTCGTTTTCTGGCCTCTCTCGTCTCTTATCAGTGTCTCGCCGCCTTTTGCCATCCACAATCGATCTTGACCACCTTACGCTCGTCCGGTGATCATGATCAATTGAAATAAAGAGGGTCTTATTGCGGGCGCTTTTTCGTGGTTCCTTCCCTTCAATAAGTCAACAACCACAGGGCAATTCTATTTTTGAACTGTATTACCTATGAAGTGTGGTCGCGGGAATTGCCTTTAAAGTCACATCATGCTGGTTTGATTCCCGGAGGCGCTCGAATCCAATATTTATTTTTGGCGCTAATGTGATATCCGTGATCAGTATGTTGATTAACCCCCATATGCAAGTTTTCATCGACTTTGGTGAAAAAAGTGGTGGGCGCCAAATTGGCGCATATGGCGCCAAATGATGCCAGCGCTCGAAACGGATGTGATATTCGTGATCAGCGCATCGAATTACATCTTTAGGCAACGTTTTAGCGAAAAAATTTTTTTGAGTTTTTTGGGGTAGGAGTGGTTCAATAGTGCCCGGCTTTGTACCACGAGTATTTCAGAAAACTACCTTTGCTACCAGCATGGAAACCACTTTTGCTGGAGAGAAAGGCATGGCGACTGATGCCACGCGCGCCATCGAGGTAGATCAAATCGGCACTGACCGATTCGATCTACCACACTTGCTGCAAAGTCGCCAAGTACTTGGTGGGTGTCGAAAAATTAGGTGAAAACAATGGAGCAGAAACTTCCATGCTCCCGGTTCCGCAGTAAATAGAGGCCGAGAACGTGAATCAAACGATGGCCAGGTGTTAACTCGTACGCAAGTCAAAAAATCAGGTAGAAATAGGAATGCAAAAACTTGAGCGCCTCCGGGAATCGAACCAGCATGATGTGACTTTGAAGCGAGAACCTTACCACTGAACCACCGCGAATCGATCTGGTGAAAGCAATTCCTCATCCTTTGCAGCTGCTACCACTGAACCTCCACTCGATACAAACTTTACCTGCTCATAACTTCCTTGTGGAATGCACGTTGCAGTTTTGCTATCTATATTTGTTAATAGCCTTATAGACTCTATCAATCCACCTAGGTCTCCTTTCAAAGTTCCATGGTAAGTTGGCGGCCTTCCCTAGATATTCCACCTTATTCAGGTACTCAACGCCCTTCCATTCCAAAGGCAAGAGTTTTTCCAACGCCCTTCGATTCCATGTGGTGGCACCCAATGCTGTAGCAGTACAAAGTTTCCAAGAAGGTACGGGCGACGACATGTGAGGAGGATATTCTTCACGAGTTGCTCAATGTAACCGCCAGCGCTCACCTTCAGTCCGGGGTCCACGAAGAAAATATTGGTCTTTCCATTCCAGGTACGTCCGGTCCATACCATCAACCCGCGCCTTGGCGACTGCGGTGAAGATGATGTCCTAGACCGTAGCGACGTTGTGCTCGATGATGGAGGTCTTCCAGATCGAGAGTACTGGTCTCCAGGTAGCTATCCATGGGTGACTCCATACTAGAAGTTTCGCAGCTGTTTGGAGGTGACATGAATTCCAAAGGTCTTCTCCAGTCAGCGACTGGAGATGACTTCATATTTTGGTGTACATGAAGGTGATGGGCGAGAGCCAGCTCCTGCTTATAGAGGAACATCTTGGGTATCTTCCGCCCTGGTACTCGTATCCACGTCCTCTGTCTGGGCTGCGAAAACTTTGCTGATATGTGACTCGGTCGAAGTGACTTTTTTTTGCCCCCCCCCCTTGTATATGAAAGCCACCAGCACAAAACAACGGCCGTTTTCTCAAACTTGTGGAGCCAAACGTACGGAGTTCGTACAGCCAAACGTACCACCAGTAAGTTGGCAACCTCTCTGGGCTCCACCTTACTGACAACTGCCATGCTTCTCCGCTATCCCGCTTGTAGGGAAATTTTTGTGGAGTATGCCCCATTAGTTGGACCAGTCTGGCAAAGCGCACCGGCTAGCCGCGAATTAGTTTTCTTTTTCTTGCACACACTGAAAGAACTTTTGTGAGATCTTGTGGTTGGTCGCGAGTGTTGGAGGCTTGCGTAAACTATGCACACATCCCTCACAGGATCTCTCAAGGAGAAAAGTAGATTGCTTCAGCCAAAAGCAGATGTGCATGGAATAAATATTTCACCGTTTTTTTTTTGACCAGTCGGATCACCCGGCTGCCGCCGGGTGCTCCTCCTTCTGTTTCACGGCCCGGCTTCGCCGGGCCGACCTGGCTTCGCCAGGCACTCCTCCCTCGGGCGTGGTAGAATGCGCTAAATGTGCCAAACGGTGGCAGTTATTTTTTATGAAATGTAGGAAAATGAGTTGAAAAAGCCGAACATCAGTCATTATCTACCAACATAT